AGTTTATAAGTGATACAAGCGTCTGAGTGATTATTTTATAAGTGGATTGTGGGACTGCGGGGCTTGGGGAACCTGGAGAGAAGCTCTCCAGCAACAATACATCAATGTTTCTATCTATCTGTCTTAGGATTTCAATTGATGTGAAGAGACGCCATGGCAATGGCAACTCTTACAAAGGAAAATATTTAACTGGGGCTGGCTTATAATTCAGAGGTTTAGACCATTGCCATCATGATGGGAAACACAGTGGCATGCAGGTAGACATGATGCTGGAGAAATAGCTGAGAGTTCTACATCTGGTTTTGCAAGCAGTAGGAAGAGACTGTTATACTAGGCCTGGCTTGAGCATTTGAGACCTCAAAGCCCACCCCCCAAGTGACAAACTTCCTCCAGCAAGGCCACACCTCCTAATAGTGCCACTCCCTATGACCAAGCATTCAAACCAGCGCACTATCTATGTGATTTATCACCTTTCCCTGAGCAAACCTTGCATTTCAGAAAAGTTTATTTCTTTTAATTAAAATTTTTTACTTTTCAGCAATATTCATCTATTGTTTAAGAATTTTATATAAACATATAATGAGTTTGGGTAAAGTCTGTTGCCTATTCCCTCTCCTTTAATTCCTATGCTATCTACCCAACCACTATGCTCTCTCAATTCTATGTGTTCTTTTTTAAAACTCACTGAGTACAGTTAGTACTCCCAGTGTCATGGGTATAGGCCCATCTCCTGGAGCCTGGATAAATTCTAAAAGGCTGTATCCCTGGATAAAACTGAAAATCCCTCTTCCAGGCATCATTCATTGTCAATAACTCCTCACTTGGCAGGAAGAGAGATTCTTAACCACCTTCCTCCACGCTTGAATTCTGTTTGAATTGATCCTGGACAAGTCTTGTGCATGCAAGTCACAGCCTCTGTGAGTTCACATGAGTGCCATTGTGTCTAGAAAACACTCTTTAGGTATGATAATTTACTGCTTCTGACTCTTACAATCTTTCTTCCAGTTCTTCCAAATTAATGAACTTCTAAGTTTATTTGTAAATGGTATACCAAGTGGTCCTTGGAGTCATGAAGTTAAAACCTATAGACTATATGGAATAAAAAGGGTCTCAACAAATCTTCTTACATAGCCATACACAGTCATACAAAGATTTCATCACTATTCAACAAAGTCAATTATGCTAGTGTGTGTGTGTGTGTGTGTGTGTGTGTGTGTGTGTGTGTGTGTGTGATTGCTTTCATGTATTTAGTAGTGGGGACATAGCAAGCATGTTTACGAAGGTGAGAATTCAACTTACCAGAATTCCTCTTTCCAATATGTAGGTTCTGTCAGTGAAACTTTTGGTGTTAGGCACTGAGCCATCTTTCCAGCTCACTAAATATATTCTTAAGAGAAAGGGTTAATCTATTCTCATGTTTCATCATCAAACACTTTATTAAAATCCTAGTGAATGACTACAAACTTTGTGCACAAAACAAAACACAACTGTGTATTTTTCACGATTCATGAAGAAAGAAAGAAAGAAAGAAAGAGAGAGAAAAAGAAAGAGAGAAAGAAAAGGAAGTTAGAAGCTGAAGCAAAGTAAATAATAAGAAAGAAGTCAACAAAATTTCAGAAAAGTATCTGAAAAAGTGGCATAAATTTGAAAAAAAAAAGTCTGCAATGTCTGCCTAATTTTTTTTAAAAAAGTTTACTTTGAGTTATTTCTAATAATTGAAACATATTTAGTTTGTTGTATTATTTCAAAATGTATTTTGAATGATTTTCAATTGTGCTAAATTATTTACACATTAAGAACTTATTTAATATTCTTTTGTCTATTAAAGTCAGAAGGTGATTTTAATACCCTGTGTTTTTAGGTTTGAGCTGGCAGCCAGCAGTTGAAATTGACATGTGAGAGTTCTAAGTCCCAGATGCTAGCTGCCAACTGCCTTTTCGTTCGTGTTTCCCTGGAAACCGAGGTTAGTTTCATGGAAACAAGGTAAGAACAACTTTTACAGCAGAGAAGTGGAATGCTCCTTTGTCATGTTTGGCTTATTGGCTGAGACCTCTAAGTACAACTTTCCAGAGTAGAGTGAAGTTGGGAGACTGTTGAGGCATAAGCTGCTTAGAGCAAAACCCCAGTACATGTATAGGGAGTAATCATACTTAAATTTATCATGGAGCCCAAATACAATATTAAAATATAAAATTGAAAAAAATCAGAACTTTCACCAAGCAAAAATCTGTTCAGGCCTGTGGCACCTAACACATCTGAACATGCTTTTAAACCTTCAATAGTGTCAAAGAGGCTATTATGGGGTGATTGCCTGGGTCAGAGTTTCTCTCATATGACTTACTTTCGATCATGCCACTGGATCTCCTGTAGCAGTTTGGGGGTGGGTGGGTGGAATACATGGAGACAAAGAGCAGGGTAAATAAAAAAAAAATCTCTAGGCTTTGCAAAGCTCTTCCCACAGTTCTAATTTACTGCTTGTCCCCTCTGGCCCTATAATACCAGCTAATTTTAGGGATGAGACCTTCAAGACACAGGAGAATAGAGTTAGTCACAGAACATATGAGATCTAGACAAACTGGAGAAGGCCATGTTACCTCAGCCCCAAATACATTTCTTTTTGCCACATGTTACAGACCATGTTACGGACTACTGCCTTTTTGACCATAACAGGACTTGTTATAACATATCAAACTTTCAACAGTTACATGAATCTTCTTTTAACTAATACATTCAAATTTGTCCAAGATATGCATAAAAGATTGAAACACACAAGAACTAGAAGATATGGCTTCATTGCTTTAAAAGATTTTTATTTAACCAGTGGTAGGTAATGTATGTGATTAAGAGAATTTATTCAGAAAAGAAATTAACCTCCTAAGTGACAAACCATATTGTGTGGAGACTGTATGGCTGAAGTGGATTTCAGGCCAAAACAAAGGCTGTAAATGCCCATGACGACATCTGTTCCCTTTCAAAATGATTTTAAAACATATTTACATTAAAAACATGGAATTATTTGCCTTTTGGCAAATTGTCAGAGTTATCTGTTATTCAAAAAAAAAATCTGTCTGCTTAAAATTATGATAAAACCCAGAAGTTTAAAGGCAATCCTGTTTCCGGGAATCAAAGAGCAGTGATTACATGTAAGGCTCCTTCCGTGTGTTCTGTCCCAGCCTTCATGTTTCCCATCACACTACATATGGTCCAATTGTTTACAGATTACAAAAAAAAGCTGTGCTCAGATGTTAAAACAAGATGTTTTCTTCACTTTCAAAAGGCAGGCTGACTGCCAATTTTTACAATTAGTTATTCTGTGCAAAGGGAGAAAAAGAAGTTTAATTATCACAATTTCTTGTGTTTGGACATTACTCTGTGATGGGCTATCAACCTGCGAACTGACAAGAATGAACTCTGGTCCACAGGACTGGTGAAAGGCTCTTGGGAAAGCAGCTCTTTGCAAAGGAGAAAAGGCTCGTAAAGCAGGACAAAGATCTTCACCAGAAATAGATATCGAAACATCAAGGAAAAAAGCCCCTGTCAATAATGCCATTTCCCTGTGGCACTGTCTGGCAGGCAGAATTTCACAGTGTGAAACAAAAGCACAGCACACCAAGAGCGCTCCTGTCAATGGGCCACTGACGACTCTAAAAAGACTTGCTGGTGGAGGTGGAGGGATCAAGGCAGGGCAAGAAGCTGGCAGTGGAAAAACTCCTGTACATGCGCCAAATCCCTTGGATTGCAGAAGTTCAAAATTGGGATATTTATTGTTTAGAGAAACTGTTCAGGTCTCCATTGAATTATAACAGGATTGCTACTAGTAATTTGAAGAAAATAAATTAACTTCGTGCACTTAGAATTCTATATAATGTATATAAGTGTCTATGAACCTTCTAATTCCAGCTTGACTTATTTAGATATGACAGTTTTTAAATTACCCCTGAATATGTAGTCAAAGCAGAATAATCAGGTGTGGTCCCAGGCTACAGGACCTCAGCAGGTAAAAAAGAGAAGAAATTAGAAACCAGTTAAATAATGTCATACCAATTTGGTTTCATAATAGTAGAATTCTATATTGAGAATCAGCATTTTAGAAATCCTGGAGATAGTGATTGTCCGCAGCAGTAAGTTTGCTGCCTTAAATTTAAATGCCCTTTTTTGTCCTGTCTCAGTTAAGTTGTTTGTGTGAAAAATGTGCAGTTGGATTCCGGGGGGTGCTGGGGATCAGTTCCCCTGTGGTTTTTCCTGTTTGGAAAGCCTCCGGATACAGAGTAACCATTCCTCGACGCCTGCTGTTAGAGGGGTATATAAGCCCATGTTGGTACGAATAGGGAGAGCTGCTTCCTCGACGAACTGAAACTGGGTGTCTAGAGTGCTGTTTAACCTCGGCGTCCCTCGCCAGATTTTGTGCTCCAGCTGCGCGGGCCGTAGCAGTGATGATAGCCATGTTTCGGGGGACAAGCTGTGCTTATACAGTGTCTGAGAAAAATTTCTTTTCCTCTTCTTGTTTTTCAATACTGTATGTTTATGGGCCAAAGTAGCTCAGGATCAACTTTCTGAAATTTAACTAAACTTGAGTGACTTTGCATGTTAGTTTCATCAATAAATGAAAGGGCTTATGTAATTCAATTTGCATAATTATGGGTGCATGCATCTCTTTGAAAGTATGTAAAAACTCTCAATGCTTTAATGATTTCAAATGTAACTATGTTGTTCCCAAGTTCAAGGGGAGAGACCATTCCAATGCCATGGACAGAGTAGTCGAGATTGGAGATCTATCTCCTAACTTCTAGCTTCATTCTCATCTGTAACAGTGCTGGTTTCACCACAGGTCTAATAAAAAGCCTTTCTATATCATGATTCATCCACTTAGATCAAACCATTTCATTCAGCTTTATAAAGACAGCAAATTACCTCAAACACGTCTAACTTCTCCTCCACATATGAGTTTTGTTAGTTATGATTGTTTCCTGTTAATTAGTTTATGTTATTTTAAATGTGCTTTAACTATTTAAACCATATTTTAGGATGTTCAAATAAACTTTAAAATATTTTACATAGCAATTTCACTTATATTTGACCTAAATGTTGTTCTAGAAGATTATCTTGTCATGTCAAATATCTCCCCAATGCAACATACATGCTCAAATAATATAACATTACATGATGCTTGCATTTTATGTTTGAAGCTGAGACAAGACAATGCACTTACATTTTTGTTGTTGTTTATATTTGAGATTGTATTTTAAGTGTAACATTTCTCCCTTCTCTTTCCTCCTTGCAAACTCTTCGTTATATCCCTCCATACTCATGGCCTGTTTTTACATCAATTGTTAGTGCATGTCTGTATGTATTTGTATATACATGTGTATTCCTAAATACAATCTGTTAAATCAATATAATGTTACCTGTATGTATTTTTCAGGGCTGACTGCTTTGCACTGGACAGTCAGTTAGTGTGCTGTTTCCTGAGAACCACCCCTCTCTCTTCCAGCATTACTCAGTTGCCTGTAGTTCTGTGGTGCACTACTTTTGGTATATTAATTAAAATTACTTCTTAAATAAAATATGTGAGAATTCAACTACTCGTATAAAATGAACTAATGTTCTGTAAACAAAGATTCTATGATATTTTAAAGCTATTGTCCACTCATTAAAAGTTCACTTATTAATTTAAAAGCAAAATAGAGATATTCCAAGTGATACAAATGATCTAAAACTTTCAAGATTCATTCATTATATGTCAAAAATATCTGCAGTTATGACTCAAATATCAATTTGTTTTTTTGGATCAATGTGCTTCCCGTTGCTTGTCTGCCAGCTATTTCCTGTTGAGCACAAACCTCCATAGTTCTTCTAGGGAAAGATTTTCTTCTGTTTCATGACAATACTGAGGTTATTATGCTTTCTTTTATTAGTTTATAAATTGTAACTATGTTAAGATAACCAATGTTCCAAAAGTCAATCTTTTCTCAAAAACATCCAGAAAAATTGAAATTTTTTAATGAAGGCATTTCTCCTTAAAAGGTTATTAGAACCTACTATTCAGATATTTTAAAATTATTGTCTTAGGAAGTTGACATTTCTTTAATCAGCACTTTGGAGACAGAGGTAGCCTGATCTGTGAGTTTGAGACCAGCCTGGTCTACAGAGCAAGTTCCAGGACAGCCAGGGCTACACATAGAAACTCTATCACAGACAAACAAGATCATAATAAATATAGATAAGATAATCAGATCTCATTCAGGTTTATCCAACAGAAATTTCATTCACAATTTGTATTCTTAATTTAAATCTAAATCAAATTAGTATATTTAGAATTTTTAATTTGAGAATGAATATAATTTAACTTTAAAGGGTCAGCTCCAGCTACCTGTGAATCACACTAATTTTTAAAAATGTTTTTATTTATTGAGAATTTCATACAGTATATTTTGATCATATTCTTCTTCCTCTTCCAACTCCTCCTAGATTATCTTCTACCTTCTAACCTACTGCTTCAATGCTATCTCTCTCTTAAAACATAAAAACAAATCGTGTCTGACTTCTCCTGAACATAGGTCCTGCCCTCTACTATGGTCAGTACACTTGGTATCACTATTTTGAAGAAAACAAGTTCTCTTTCTCAGCAGCTATTCACTGTGAATTAACTGTGCCCACTTTCCCCCTTTACATCTCAGTCTTCAATGATTTTTTTATTCTTGAAAACAGCAGAGAAAAGAACTCATAATTATTTGCTGAGTGAATGATGGTTGCTGAGCAAAGATTAAGGAGACAGAACTTCTTTACAAATCTTGTTCATTTTTGAGGGATAAAATTTTTCTGTGTCATACTATCCTTATACTGTAGGCTGGCATGCCCATATTTTGTTTAACTTGAGCTTTTTTTATAATACCTGTATATTGATAGAGAAGCTCAATGTCATAAAATATAAGAGAGATTTTGCCTTCCAAGATCCTTCATTTCAGAAGAATGGCTAAAACTTCTGAGAGCAATGGAATTAAAATGAGGAAGTGATGTCAAATCACACCCTGATGAATGCGAAATTAATATTTTATCTGCTCATTTACTCATTTTTTTCCTCAAGTATATATGATTTGCAGTATAACAAATAACTCAGTAACCCATGTTGAATAATGTCAAAATAGTTTATGAGATCAACTCACAGAAGAACTTTACCTGCCCATGGATTGGTGTTAGTGCAGTTATTAAAGCAGGTGTTGGCTTTTGAAACACAAGAAGATCATTGCGCATAAGTGGATGTAGAACTTGAACTTGTTACTTTATGTGTTGCTGAGACAAAACAGTTTACCAAAGCCATTTATAAAAGGAAGAATTTGGGCTGGAGAAACGGCTCAGTGGTCACGATCACCAGCTGCTCTTCCAAATGGTCCTGAGTTCAATTCTCAGAAACCACATGGTGGCTCACAACCACCTGTATGAGATCTGGTGCCGTCTTTTGGCCTGCACAGACACATGCAGGCAGAATGCTGTATACATAATAAATAAATCTTAAAAAATTAAAAAAAAAAACAGTAACAATAACAAAACAAAACAAAACAAAAGGAAGAATTCATCTTGGCTCATGGTTTGATGGTATAGTCCACCACACTGTGGAATCGTTGCTGCAAAAACTTGAGGTCGATGATAATGTTGCATTTGCAGCCAGGAAGCACAGAGGGGGCTGAGTTCTCTTGTTCAGCATACTTCCTTCTTTTATGCAGGTTATTGACCTGAGCCTATGAAATGGTGTTGCCCACAGTGAAGGTAAGTATCTTCATTTCAACTAGCCTAGTCAGTATAGAACCTCACTTGAGACAAACCCAGAGGCTTGTGTTTCTGTTGATTCTAAATCCTGCTAATATGACAATCAAGATAATTATCACATAACTGTAACCGGTGTGAGTGTGTGCAAGAAATAGGAAAATAACACAGATTAATGATGCCAAATTAGAAAAAAAAACCTAGAAGGTTGGTAGTTTTATCACTCCAGACAATGCCTTAGGTGTTATCTATGTGTTTTTCTGCATGTGTACTTTGTAAACAACAGAACCCATCTTTTAAAATCAAGCCTAATATATTAAATTATTATATATTATTCACCCAATGTATACATTTAACGTTAAGTAAAAAAAAAATCAGTAGAACATATTTAACAAAATAAAAACTTTTTTGCCTTGGGATAAGAGCATCTGCAATTCAACCATGAGGACCTGAGTGCATATCCCCAGAATCAAAATACAAAATTAGGAATGGAAAGTAACCTGTGTATGTAAACACAGCATTATTGGAAGCAGAAACAAGAGGATAGCTGAGAATTGGATGGTTGTCAGCCTAGCTAAGGTTTATGAGACTGTGTCATAAGGGAACAAACAGTGAACAATGTGGAAAGACAGCTGACTCTGTCTGTTGGTTACTGTGCATGTACAGGTGCATGCACATGCTTACACTCGTGTGTGTGTGTGTGTGTGTGTGTGTGTGTGTACCACATACACTCATACACACACACTTCCATATGTTCCAGCAATAATACACCTCTGGGTCTGTCTATCTATCTATCTATCTATCTATCTATCTATCTATCTATCTATCTATCTATCTATCTATATGTAGTCTCAAAAAAAAAAAAAAACAAAGCCAACTCACTCTCAAAATATATGAATGCCTGTATTTATCACAATACTATCTACAGCAGACAAATCATTAAGTCAGCCTCTATGCCCATCAACTATTAAATTAACAAAGTATAGTATAAAAATATATAAACAAAATATATATAAATATATAAAACAAAGTATAGTATAAAAATATAATGGAATTTTTACTCAGCCAAAAACAATTAAACTGGCTGGGCAGTGGTGGCACATACCTTTAATCCCAGCACTCAGGAGGCAGTGTCAGGTGGATCTCTGTGAGTTCAAGACCAGCATGGTCCACAGAGCAAGATCCAGGACAGGCACCAAAACTACACAGAGAAACCCTGTCTCAATACCATGATGAATGAAGACCCCAGGGGAATAGGAAGAAGCAGAGTGCTACAGAGGTCCCCAGAAATCCAAAAAGATACCTCCACTGTAGACTACTGGCAATTGTCGAGGGAGTGCCTGAGCTGACCTGCTCTGGTGATTAGATGGCCAAACACCCTGGCTGTCATGATAGAACTCTCATCCAGTGTCTGATGGAAGC